GTTATTATTTTGTATAACCCACAAAAGCGTGGCAGGGTAGATATTCCAAGGAAAAACTAATATGTTTAAAATGTTATGTAAAGTTTATTAATTACAATTTCTGTTCACCAGAACAATTCATTCATTGCATTCACGTTCTATTAATTTAGCCAACTTTTTTTTTTTTATCGAAATTACTTACAAATTAGGAACAATTTGTCGTAGAGCCTCTAATATTAAAAGTACACAGTACCAGGTTTAGTAAAAAAAATAGATTATAGTTAGTTAACAAGCCAGAACAGAGGTGAAATGCAGCTTTTTTGTAGCCACGAATTTAATGTGCCTATATACATAACTAATATTTCATATATAAACTTACCCTGAAAAATTTGAGGGCGGGGCAAAGGAGACGTTGTTGTAGCGAATCCAATTAAGAATTGCGTGACACAGAATGAACAAGGAAACACGATATTTGTTATGCAGATTGCGAGAGAACTACACAAACACCAACAACATTAAGGCCCTGTCCGTGACTTTTTTACGCGGTACGGCCGTTCGTCCACACGAAAACGCACTGAAGCCGAACATTTTTGAAAACCCCTGCCAGGGTGAGGATTTTCAGAAACGCCGGTTACAGTGTTGTCGTGTAGACAGTGAAACCGGGGGTTTTGCCTTGCGACGTCAGAGTGTGCGCCGTTATCAGCTGTGTTTGACATGAGATTTGCGCTTCTGATTGGCCAACGTGGCTTTAGGGTTAAGGTTTATATCGCCGCCTGCTGGCATGGCATGCTCTTGATCGCGCTTGATAGCGTGTTTTTGCGTTTTCATGTAGACGGAGACCGAGCATGTGTGGACGGGATTTTTTTTTTAAACGCTGTAGGAAAAACTACGGTTATAAAAATACCTGTGTCCGTGTGGACAAGGCCTAAAACCGAACACAAGAAAACCGAGGGCTTAAAGTGAACCCCGACTAGTGTGGCATGTTGGCCTTATAAGATTAACGTGGGCGTCAGCTATAAAAAGGTGATACAAAAACACTCCAAATGTTTTTGATTTTATTAAAAAAAGACGAAAATCCGTTCACTCGTAGGCCGCCATAGTTATTTACGTCTCAATGCATTCTGGGTAGTGACGTGTAAAGGTTGTAGTCGGTTGAGCCTAGCCGCTGTAGCCGCTTCATATATTGTTTTTCCAACGTACCGGCTAGCTAGCTAAGTTTTGACAGTAGTGAGATGAACACGTCTGCCGTTCACTGAGCCTTTTCAGTTTGAACCCGAGCGCACCGTAGGCTTAAATCAAGAGAATAACGAGGTGTCTGTGCGGCAACTGCTTGCCAATGCCAAGCGAGAACGACCGCGTTTGCTGTATAAAGAGATCAGTATAGTCAGTAACGTTATAGTCTTAGATTTAAGATTTTAAATATGTAGTGCAAGGCAATTCAGTGCAATGGTAATTATTAATATTGTAATTGTAAGATTGAAAATGTACATAAGGTAGATGAGCAGAATAGTGTTGACTTTGTAAAGGGGGTTGCACACCGGGTCCGGACGAGAAGCGCAGCGCCGCGTCTATGACAACTCGAGGTTTCGCACACCGGACGCGCACTTTGTCAGTTTATGGCCAGCAATATTGTTATGTTTAAGGAAGGACATTATGGAACTAAGATCGTGTCTGTACTATGTTATGATTTGTACTGTACAATTAAATACAATCGTTGCTTATTAGTCTGCAGTCTGAATTCACTTTACCTCAGAGCGTCCGTTAACTGAATGAATTGAGAATATCACCTGAAAATCCGGTAACATCAGCAATTTTCATTCAACCAGCTGATTTCTGTAAATAAATGTAAAACTAAATGTATATTGCTGCGCAGGGTGAACTCAGTATATACATTAACAACGATTTGAGACAAATAAATGTAAATTTAATATTTAACTATGTAAATGGTGCTCTGTGGCGCGGCAGGATTTTGAACAAGGTCCGAGAGGGTATTTCTATGCGTTCAACATAGTGACTGCTTAGGGAAAATAAAGCAAACGACGGCGGTAGATGACTTATTAAATTATTTACACCGATAGTACGATCGTCTGATCAACTGCTGACAAAAAGTGGAGCTCTTTACAGCAAACGCTCTCGTTCTCACTTGGCATTGGCAAACTGCCGCAGACACCATCTATTTTGCCCCACTCTCGCTTCTTCAACTCTCTGATAATCTTCATTTTCATGTAACTCTTGAGTAGGCCTATCGTTTTCCGCGTTATTCTCTTGATTTAAGCCTAAGGTGCGCTTGGGTTCAAACTGAAAAGGCTGAACGGCAGACGTGTTCATCTCGCTGCTGTCAAAACTGGGCTAGCTACAACCTTTACACGTCACTACCCAGAATGCATTGAGACGTAAATAACTATGGCGGCCTACGAGTGAACGGATTTTCGTCTTTTTTTAATAAAATCAAAAACATTTGGAGTTTTTTTGTATCACGTTTTTATAGCCGACGCCCACGTTAATCTAATAAGGCCAACATGCCACACTAGTCGGGGTTCACTTTAAATACACAGGGTAAGATAATTAATGCAACAAAGAACAGGTGTGCACTAATCAGAAACCATGGCAACACAGGCAAAACAGTGACAAGGAAAGTAAACGGCACATGAAACTAAACATGACCAAGACAATAAACACTATAGGGTTGGAATTATGCAAATGTATCACCAACCAACATAAGGATCAAGTAATGCCTGGTACACATTGTATGATTTTGGTCCGTCCCAGATGAAAGATGACCAATCGTGGTGACTTCTGTGGTCGTGGCTCCTAAACGCTGGTCCTACGTTGTAGGAAATTTTATGGTTTTATGTAAAGAATTCACAAATATTGTATTAACATTTATACCCAGTCCCACATACCTGGAAATCTCACTGTAATCAATAGTGACCCTGATCTTTGGCCTGTAACCCTGTGTCATCATCCCTCAACCATACTGACCTCTCTGAGGACCTTGATTTCCCATCACGTGTGTGTCCTTCTTTCATCAGTGCTTTGACTGTGCCTCTCGCTGCCATCTTTTGTGACTGAGGTGAACATCAGAGTCGTGAAAGTAGATCATGGGAATAGAATTGCAAGTAGGGAACTGCAGAAAGCATGGCTTTAATCTCTCCCGATGCCAGCGGATGTGCGTTCAGCATCTGTGGGACGGCGTTGGAGTCGGGAGAGGGGGTGGATAAGCCTACAGCGTTGTGCTCGATACACCACGTTATTACAGCCAAAAACAGCACACACTACCGCAGGGGAACCATTACAAATGAGTCAGAGGCTTTAATGTATATGAGTGTGTGGGGGTGTGTGAGAGAGACTGTATGTTTGCACCATTTTCTACAGCATGATAGTGGGGTTTGTACGTTTGCCATGAGATATTTCATTTAGTTTGATTGCAAAATGCAACCTCTTGTAAGGTATGTCTTTTTTTTGTGTGAAAGATTGTTTGTGAGGAATAACCCAAATAAGGGTAGCACTGTGATCCAAGCTCTCTTTGACATCTGTCTCAAATAGAAATAACTGCAGCATTGCTCCCGGACATTTCTGCGTTTCGCTTTCTATGGTCAGGAGTTGAAATCGAGTTGGAGTTGTGTGCGCTGCTTCTTGTGAAAAAGAAGTACACTTTAAAAAGAGTACTTGTAACGGGAATAATATAGAGTGAACTGAATGAAATGGTTTTGGAAACATCTGCAAATGAATAAACATATATTGTAGGTTAAATTTATATTAAATGCAAATAGTTGTATCATTCTTTTTTTATGAACCGTTGAATTTAAGAGTGCTTTTTTTGAACCACTTAAGTAGGATTTAAAGTCCCCCTGTGGTGAAAATCCAGCTTTTAGTGTTATTTAAATGTTTTTAATATGCTTTAAGACAAACCATGTGTAAATTCATAAGTCGACAGCATTGCTGAGTATTTTCTGCTTAAAACTGCAGTGAACCAAAGACAGTCTCAAACACACGGTTTGAAATCGCTGGTGTTTCTGACGTCACAAACTACCTTGTAACCAATCAGATCAACGTGTGGTCGTCAACCAGTGGATCTCTGAGCTGAGTGAGTGAGTGGAGGCGGGGCTAATCTGCATATTCATAGAACCGCGAATACTAAATGAGGCAAGGGTGTCGAGTTACATCCAAGATATTTTAAGGCATGAAGAAATTTATTTCAAGGAATAAACATTTAAATATGTAATTTTGGTGATCAAAGATGAGTTTTAAGGTATACAATTATTGGCTACAGGGGGACTTTATAAGTACATCTTTATATTTAATGTCTTTGAAATGTAATGTGGTAAAGTGTGCTGCTGAACATACTGACAAGCTACTAACATTTCTATTGAAACTACATTATATTTAAATATATTTGTAATTTCACATTTGTAAAAATAAAGTTGCAATTTAGTGCATTTAAAATATATTTACTTTCAATACAACATTGAATAACACACTACAGCTAACATTATATATTAGTCATCACATCAAAGTAAGTCTACTTCTTTAAAACATGACTATTAAAAAAAGACTATTAAAAGTATGATTCAAAATGCACTTGAACAGAAAACTTTTAATTGGACATTACAAAGTACAATTTACTTAATTGACTTAAACCCACATGTACCAGATGTGGGCCGGATCTGGGCCGACACTATGTTGCTGTCTGGGATGCATCTAGAATGAAGGCTGGTATTTAGGACAGGGCCTCTTCAGACTCTTCAGGAACTCAACCAATTGATGTTCACAGAGAGTTGTCTCTGCACATTAAAATAGATAGATAACATCGAAAAAAACCTTACACTGTGATTATAGAGAACTAATGGAGAACTTGAACCAGATAATTTGCAAATAAATGAGTGTACAGCAGAAGATATTGTTGCTGATATTCCTGAAATGAGAAACAGGATCTGTGTGTGATTGTTGCATTGGCTCTACTCAGTTACTGCTCAGAAATCGGGGTCACTTGCATTGATGGTTCTCCTTTTTCTTTTCAGGTGGACGAGTAAAAACTTGGAAGAGGAGATGGTTTATTCTGACCGACAACTGCTTGTACTATTTTGAGTACACAACAGTAAGTAGATTGGTTTTCAGCATTATTAAGTAGGTGCATCATTTCTGGACTTTGGGGTTTGAGGGGTTATTCTTGTCCCAGATGCATTTTGATGGGTTTCTCCTGACTTTAGGACAAGGAACCACGAGGAATTATCCCTCTGGAGAACCTCAGCATCAGAGAGGTGGAGGAACCCAGGAAACCTGTGAGTGCCCGAGCAAACGTGAACGTTAGAGCCGGAAACCTCATGCCTAATAGTATGTTGTGTCTCCTCGTGTAGAACTGCTTTGAGCTGTACAATCCCAACCATAAAGGACAGGTGATCAAGGCATGTAAGACGGAGGCCGATGGGAGGGTGGTGGAGGGAAACCACGTCGTCTACAGGATATCAGCTCCCACACCAGAGGAGAAGGAGGAATGGATCAAATCCATTAAGTAGGATTTCCTATTGAATATATTGTTAAATAGTCTTGTTCAGTGATTTAATAACTGGCTGACACCCATTTGCTGAAGAAACACTAACTTTAGCTGGGCATTAACTTTATTCTAGAGCTGCTGTAAAGCCAAAACAATACCTATTATCACTGTAAAACTGCTTTGAAACAATCTATATTGTTAAATAGGGCTATATAAATGAAGGTGACTTGACTTTAACTCTATAACAATACCTAATGAGCTGCCACATTGTCAACAACAAGAACACGCGTAGATAAAGTAACTAACAAGCCAAGTTCATTAGAAAACGAGCCTCTGCTAAATATTACGTTGATTCTTGCATGTTTCGCTAAAATCTTTCAAAGTGAAATGTCCAGTGAGTGGTGCTAAAAGGTTAATGCTCTTGAAATGAATGCTTCCTACAGCAGTGGTTCTCAGCCGTTCACTTTTGTATGTCTTCCTAATCAAACAGACTTGATTCAAGTCATCAGCTCATTAGTACAGACTCCAAGAGCTGAAATAGGTGTGTTAGACAAAGGACCAGCGTTTAGAGACACTTTTTTATATATAAAAAAAAATTTGGTTACCATTATGGTGATCAGTGTTTGCTTTAGTTGGTCAGTTTGACCATTGGCTTTTTATGTGAGTTTAAGGTATTTGTAACTGTGTTTACCAAAACACATAATTTGTTTCAAAGAAAGCCAGACACAAAGATGATCAGGTGATATATTTTCCAGCATCATAAAATAGAATAATTCACTAATCTTATTCCTGACCAAAAGTCGATATTTGTTATTAACAGATTACATTCACCAATGATAATTTATTGCAACAGATCAAACATTCTGAATCTTGATTTTTTTTAATACATTACATACATTCAGTGTTACTTAAACCATATGTACTCTGAGCAGAGTTAATTTAACTCTGGGGATTTTGCTGTGTAGTATTGTACAAGGAAAATAGATCTTTATTAATCCATAATCTGCCCATGTAATCTTAATCTGTATGAAATGTATAAGTACGTGTTTGGAGTTTTGGCAAAGATGTCGGTAGAAGCACGTTTTTCCAATGAGCACATGTTTGTAATTACTAATGGTGTAAAAATGCACTCGTTTTCTTGATGTATCGATGAAAACACCCTGCCGATTCAAATGCATCAATCTTCAAATTTGTGTATGTTAGCCAATAATCAATTTACAATTGACCTCTTTTGGCCTTTGCTGCTTTTACAAACATTTTCCAAACACTTCTGAGGCTTAATTCGTCTCCGGGCCGCTTCAGTACAGTGATTAGCTCACGGTCATATTACACTCCAAAAGTCAAATGTAAAAAATATAATAATATATATAATATAATATATAGCCATATTTATGCATAGAAAAAATAAAGTCTATTTTTAGGACCATTTCATGTGAGTGGATTTTAACAGCACTAGTCATGATGGTGTTTATTCTCATCCTCAACCCTGTGTTTTCATGTGGAGATTAGTCAGAGCTTAACCCCCCCCCACACACACACACACACACACACACAAACAAACCATCAACTCCGGGGACCAGCAGACCTGTTGCGGTCCTCGTGCCTCCGCTAATCCAGGCTCCTCGTCTCCCAGAGATGTGCTGGAGGATGAGAGGCTTTATCACAAGCACTTTTTGCATAGTCCGCACAGTTATGTCCCACAATCCTTATCTGCTTATCTGTAATCATGCTTTATACGCTCGGGATATCGGACCATTCAGTCAGGCTTTGGAAACAAAAACAAGTTCTTCTCAGAGGTTTTAACTCATTCAGTAGAAATAAGTTGAAGCGGATGGTTTTGTCTGTGCAGAATTTAGAATTTAGAACTCTATGTTCATTCTAACATATTCTTAAGATGTTAGAATCAGTGTAGAAATTGCGAAGCTATGTTCAAAATGCATTACTAATAGGGGTGTAATGATACGTTCATGTCACGATTTGATACATATCACGATACTGAACTCACGATGCAATATTATTGCGATACTCCAAGACACATGATAAAAAGTTTACAAAAAATAAACTGTTGATTAAAATGCTAAATTTGGTGTTACATTGTGTGTGTAGATGAATAGGCTTGGACTTGGTGCTGAAACCCAAAACACAGGACAAGACACCAGAATAAACATATTCATGATTCTGAAGCTGAAAACACAGAATTATTGTAGATGAATATGCTTAATCTCCGTCACTGACTAGATATATTTAAAATAATGTAGGACACTTTTTACTGGTAACATTTGGCATTATCCTGACCCACAAATATTGCATTATTATACATTATATTCAACATTATATATAGCAGTTTAATGTAGTACTGACACTAAAACTCTGTAAACTTGAAATTTTTATTTATGTATCCACGATACATATTGTTATACATATTTTTTATATTGCGATATATTGACACGATATATTGTTACACCCCTAATTACTATCCTATTACTAAAGTCTATTATAAATCATATGTGAGAGGCATCCTGTTAGCGTTTTTGAAAATATGTAATTAGTTGTATTTTTAGTTTTATGGTTGACAGTCCAATCAAAAACTGGGTAGACTTTAGTCCAACATAGCCAATAGTCTTTACAATAAACACATTTCCCAGCAGCCTTTCACTTATCTTATCACAGTGCATTATGGGATTATAATCCATGAATTATTATCCCCTAATATTTTGAGCAGCGTAACAATTTAAATTTGCCTTCGTCTCTGGAGCTCACTTGTGAGGCCTTGAAATGCTGTCTACATAGGCAACTCACTATAGATGTAGTCACCTCACAATGAAAGAAGCTCTTTCTGCAGTGGAGGAGTTTCATACTATGCGCCGCGCTAACAAGATTCCTAGCATGAAAACTGTGGCCAGCCTTTAATCTTAGCAGGTCTGGCCTTAGCAGTCACCTTACACGGGGCAATCCCGAAACGCCACTCAAACGCAGAAAATCCCTGAGAGGCGGAGTTAAACATGGGTGGGGCGTGTCCTCAGAAACCATGAAACCAAACTAGGTCACTGAACAAACTATTTCCTATGATGCCATTAAGACAGGGGTGTGTGTGCAAACATATATAGGCTGTATGTCCATATCAAAGATGCCGAAGTCTCTCTCATCTCCTTTTAATTGGTTCCTTCAGAGCAAGCATCAGCCGGGACCCTTTCTACGACATGCTGGCCACCAGGAAGAGACGCATCGCCAACAAGAAGTGAAATCTACATCCAAACCTCTTCCTCAAAGCCGGTTCACAGCAACACACACTGCCTACTGGGACAGACTTTGTGCAGATGTGTGTTTGATGACGGGTTAGAGGAGCCCAGCGGCTGAAGAATTCAATGTTTATAGTTCCTTTCTTGAGTTCCGGACAGCAACATGGTGTCGGCCCAGATCCGGCCCACACCTGGATACACATGTACCGCGGATCTGGGCCGACACCATGTTGCTGTCTGTTTCTATTCATATAAAAACACAGCTGTCCTGACATGTTTGTATTTGCATGGATGTTGGTATGTATACCTGGGCGATGACATGAACTCTCACTGCAGAAAAGCCATTTATTTCGGAAGAGACGAGACCTATTTGGACGGCCGGTGTGATCGACAGTAACCCAGCCTTCATGGCCATTATGGTGCTAGAAGACTTCGTGTGTGCATGTGATCCAGTGCTAACGCTAGGTGGCGCTCTGGAGTCAGCTGGACTGATTTCATGATGTTAGAGTGAGAAACAGCAAATATATAACATAAATATATATAGATTTCAGCTGAATTCGGAACTGAAAACTACTCTTACTATTTTCACCACACAGCAACATATTGTCGGCCCAGATCCGGCCCACATCCGGTATTCCACACATACCAGATGTGGGCCAGATGATGTGTGCCGGATCTGGGCCGACACTATGTTGTTGTCTGGGTAAATATATATATGGTAATTCTATATAAGATACCCAGACAGCAACGTAGTGTTGGCCCAGATCCGGCCCACATCTGGTACGGATGTGGGCCGGATCTGGGCCGACACTATATTGCTGTGTGGGAAGAGTAGTGTACTCCGAATTCAGCATCAGTTTCTGTTGTCCATCAGAAGGTACCAGTCCATTAACCCTTTCCGTTCTGCTCTTAGATCTACTGTTGCATATGATGTTTTGATGTAATACGAATGAATTTGCTTGCTTTTGTGTTCTCTTTACAAGTATAGTTAAATATCTCCTTTTATATTTATTTTCTTTGTGAAATGATTTTATTCTACTCATAATTGGTAAACTATAGATCTAAGTTATGTGTAAATACTGTAAACATTTGTCCAATTTTTTTTTTTTTTTTTTTTGTGTGTGTGTAAGTACAATCTGTAGCATATATAAATCTACTGGCTCTTTATTGTTTGGGCTCTTCGCTCAGCAGCCTTAAACTTATGTACTTCTGTCAGGGAAAAAAAATCACCTTGCAATTCTGGAAAAAAAATAAGTTGTTTTTTTAAGAAGAAGAAAAAATCCAGTAGCAATTTATATGTGGTTGTAAAATAAAAGCCCTTTCCAAGGGTGGGATACTATCTCTAATGCCCTTTGGGGCTCCAGATTAATTTTTATATGTCTGTATAAGCTATTGGTCAAACTGTACATGAACTATGAATACATAAAACATTCATAAAGCTAAAGCTTTCACGAGTAATTTTTTTCCCCCACACATCACACAGGGCAATTGGATCCAACTAACTTTGATCATGTACAGTGTAGATTTCTGACGCAGCCACAACGTTTTTGATCAAACGTATTGACTGAATGATTCAAATCGAGTCCAATGAGAGGTATCGCTGTTGTTGATACACACACAGCAACATAGTGTCGGCCCAGATCCGGGCCACATCCGGCATTCCACACGTACCAGATCCGGGCCGAAACTTTGTTCCTGTCTGGATAGAGAGATAAAAATTATATATATATATATATATATATATATATTGATGGTTTAAGCAAACTTGTTAGTTCATTAAAAAACAAACAAAATAACAAAACAAAATTCACACACCACTTTTGGCCACTAGTGTCTGGTGTGGTCAGTGCCCCAATAGTGCTATTTCAGACCCTGCTGCATTTCTCCAGTCGCCAAAAAACGTCATTTCCGGCAGTCAGAGCATTGATTTGTAGAGTGGGAGGTTATTACACTTCTTACAAATTCAGTTACCGGTACTTAAAGAATACCTTTACGATCAAGCTTGTGTCGTTTATTTAACTCCCTGTCATCATATTATAATACACATAACATAATATACATAACTCCAATACATTATATATTTTTTTAAGAAAGTGTGTCTTCTCCTCCTCTCTGCTGCCCAGGGGCGTGGGGTGCCACCCTAAAAAATAGCTTTGCCACCCCAGATGACAGCTCGGATACGGAGGGGCGTCGGCTTAACTTCCACCCATCGGCTTAAAAAAAATGTTTATCTTAGGCTACTTCAATCGATTGGGTCACGAAAAGTACTTATCAAACATGATCTATAATTCACAATACTTTTAGTTTTAAGTCTGATGTCTTTATTATGTAGATAAAGTGCATTTCTGCCCCTGCAGCAGGCTAGTGTAAGCGGCAGATTTCAGGAGACAAAACTTGACAAAAAAAGCATGTGGGGAAATTATATGTGTTAATTATATAAATATTTTTAAATTAATATATTAAAAGCTTTTTATTTAATTTTACATAAACATAATTAAAACATATATTCAACATTTAACATATCTCCAAGATGATCTTACTTGGTTTGAGATTAATTAATTGCTATTAAAATGTAAATGTATCAAAAGCAAATATAGCCTAAGCAAATATTAAAATGGCAAAGCAATAAAATGTCTGTTCAAACTAAATAATATTTATTGGGACAGTGTTCGTCATATAGTGATGTCACTGGCATATCTTCACCCCTCCCCCATGCTTTAATCTTTTCGCCAAAAATACCACATGTGGCAAGGCCCGCGACCACCAGGCTGAAGCTTAAGTTTAGACTTTTCTCTTTTTAACAGTGGTGGAGGAAGTACTGAATCTCAGTACTTAAGTAAAAGTACAAATAACCAGATACATATTTACTTTAGTAAAAGTATAAGTAGCCTACAACGACAACCCTACTTAAGTCAAAAGTACCTGATTTTAATTGTAGGCTACTTTAAGTATTAAAAGTAGGCTATAGGCTACCACAATGGCATAACAATTTATTCTCTTAATGTCTATATTCTAATGATTAATAAAACTTAATTAAACCCAAATTGTCCCGTAAAGTTAATGGCATACGCAGGAATATGAATTTAAATGGATTTTGCGTATGGCCACCTGAATATGAGAGATCATAAGTGATATCAACACTTCTGTTCGCGGAAGGCTTTACACTAAGCAGAATTCTTTGTCGGCTGATCGGTGATCGGAACTAGCGGCAATTCCCTTTCACAGTCTGCGTTATTTCAGCAAGATTGGATGAACGTTATATTGTCAACCTCCAGTCACACAAAGACTTGCAATCTCGTCTGGTGAAAAGGGAAGGCGTCTTTCTTTATATAAAAACATTTTACATTTAGCCTAGTATCTTTTAGCGTATTCTTAGCCTCATTATTGTTAGTATTTTTCACAGAAACACAAAATGATAAATTAGTCTCGAGCACCACCAACAGCCCATACTTCTCTAAAATATCATCTTAATTTGCACCATCAGTTTCATAAACTCCCGGCGTTGCGTTTTAAATCCGATTTTTATTATTTTACGTTTATCAATACATTATAACATAAATACTGGTTTAAACCCCTGAAAGAAGTAGTTTTTTTTTTTTTTTTGATAAACGACATTGTTATGTTTCGCTCCTCGGTCTGCCCTTCAGAGAGCATCTAAAGCCGCTAAACTTATGGAACGTTAAACGGTTTCAGTCAGGGAAACTGTTTCTATTTATAGATTTATTTGGAACTATTTTCATTGGCGATATATAGAGCAAGTAGCTAATATAGAGTCATGTAATATTAACGACTTGTTTATTTCAATTGTATAAAATCAACGTCCTGCTGATGTTCGGGACAGCACTCTTCCTCAGCTGATAAATTTGCTTAACTAGGCTATTGTTAGAAATAGATAAAAAAACAAGGATAGCCTAGACTAGAGGAACGTATTATATTCTGAACTTTTTATTTATTATATTAGAACTTTTCTTATTTTCTGTTTCAGAAATGGGCTTTTATTGTAGTAATATCTGTTGATTAATTTTGTTTCAGTGGTCTGTTATGCTTCATAATAAAATGTATAGGCTACCCATCCGCAGCTTTACTTGCTCTTGTTTATGCACCAGCTGCAAATGCTAACAAATAAACAGCGCTAGTTTTTGTATCAGCAATCATGAATTAAAAATGCTCAGTCCGTCTTTGTTTGTATTGCATGTTTACTTTTAATTCAACGAAACAGCCTATATGTCTCCCATCCCTCACAAACTCGCGGTCGATTTCGTCATAATGATCGCCGCGCATTCCTCAGAACGTTCGGTGACGTTATAATGAGTGCAGCGGAATTATTCTTCTTGTAGCGAGTCGGCGATTGTGTGAGTATGCTTTTTACACTGTTTGGGGATCTGAATTTTAATATTTTCATAATTTGCAGAAGAATCTGCTTAAACTGTGGAATGTTATTGTCTCGATTTGCTGTAGCTACATTTAGATAAACAATAGGCATGGCTATATGATAATTTATATTCAAATGACAAAACGATAGCAGATCTGATGACACACTGCCTTAAGCTGATTTCTTTAATCAATCAAACTTGCCTCGACAACCGGCATAATAAAAAATGACTACATTTACATTATGTGCATCTGAGTTATGCACATTAGTAGGTATATTGATAAAAATAACAATTAACTTTTTTAGCTTCATTGTTCATTTTAAATACATTTTAAGGAGGCTCTCAGCCTCCCTTGCCTCTTCTGATGGATCACCACTGGGCATACACTGTAGGCCTATACATTTTTATTTTTTAGAAAATTAAAGGCCCGGGTATAGCCTACTTGATTTTCTCGCGCACAGTCGTGTCCGCACAGCTATTAGTGTAACACTGCACAATTTCTTATTTATACTCTACCAGATGTCAAAGAGCAGTACTGAGTCGAGTCAACATTCTTCTTAACAATCACCTAGCGTATGCGTTAGTGCGAACACAAAAATTGGCCTACACATGGATGTCTGTTGAACTTCAGATACCAAAATGTGGAATGTGGACGACATAAGTTTACGTTGCGCTTAAGACAACAAGCTTTCAGGTTCTTGTACTGTATGTTTACTCAAATAATCTCTTCCC